TCGGAACGATATTGCCAGCGCTCAACAATCAAACCTACATTCCCTCGATTGAAGACTGTTTGAGAACGGATGCGTACATACATTTTGAACGATTTGTTCAACTATGTAAAAGTATGGAGGAGGTAGTGCAGAGACACTTTACGCACTATCAACCACGCATTGACTCTCGGTTATACTCGCTTTCAGGCTAGCCATGCCTTCAATTCCTCCGCAGTCGATTAACTGGCACCAGACCCGTTCGAAAGGATAAAACCAATGCCCAGTAGAACGGATGTCACCGCAAGTCATTGTACAGGCCACATTCACATTCATATACGCCAATACGAATCTGAATAGAAGGCGACCACTGAGTGCATCCCAAAAATAGGGTTGATATCCTTCCTTTAATAAATGATAAGTATGCCAATTTGGGGAGCAGTGGTCCGATATCGAATGCTTGGGCAGACCCCACATTTGAATTCTGAATGAAAGCAAGCTTGAGGATGGATCTCCAAGTTGTCGATTAGTGAATTTCTACTGGCTCACTCTCTTCATGTTTATTGCTCCACGGTTGCGGATCGTATCGCGGGTAACACGCGATTTCTATGATTTTCTCATCAAATCAATCAATCACAGCAGTGACTCATATAATACGAAAGTGACTCGATTTCAGCTTCCAGACACATTGTGAAAACACCGTACAAAGACGTCTTGCACCTGGCTGAGGACTACGCACGTGCGACCGCTAACGCAATAAAAGAGCCGTCACGGTCCAGCCGAATCGCCAGCTTCACTTACATGCTCTCCAACGTAACCTTTTTCCTCAGTTGTATGTTCTCATCACATCATCAGACACACACCTCCATGTTGTCACTCACATATTCCTATGTCGTTAGTTATGCTATCCTCATGTTATCAACTAGTTCTTATGTTAACCTGATGCTGCCTTATACCATGAACTATTATCCTTGCCTTTGCTTTATATAGCCTTGCTTCTATTGTTATAGAACTAGTGTTGGTGTAATAACCCAAGTTTATGTCTACGCCTGACGCAATAAAGTTGTGGTATTAGGTAGTGTAGCTGTGGTTGTGGCAAGAATATAGTAACGAGGAGGGTAAACGTGTCGTGATAAACCACGACTCTCTACTTTACCATGCTATATGCAGTTAATTTCTCATTTAGCCGGAGAATTAGTCACTTCTTCTTAGAATGGTATCTGACGTTAATTTTTGTACGACATCTGTTAGTACTCTAACATCAAGCCAAGCAGTGTATCAATCGAGGGTTCCAACAAATCTGCCACTGACCGACCGTAACAGTTTCGGTGCATCGGCCGAGAAATTGAGCTGACGGAGCTAGAACATCGTTCTTCAATCGAATACCTTACCGAAACCGTCCACCGTAGTTCTATTCGTCTAAAAGCGATCTAGTCCAAGGTGACCTATATTCAAGACGACATTCATATGCTGATAGAGAGCACCGCTCCCACGTCGAATTGTGCCTTTTGCCCGTTTAACGAAAACTTCGACAATCACCATACAGCCCGCTGTTACCGTCATCCCGATCCGCTCTTGAGAGCCATACGAGCCTCTGAACTGCACCTATACGGTCGATATTTGCGTCCTGTGCACGGTGAAAATTGCAATGTGACTTGCTCTTTTTGCCGTGGCGAACACAACGCCCTCCTATGCGGGCAGAGATCTGCTGCACCATAAAAGCGACGTCATTTCTGATCGTCCATGGATGGTGTTCTCTCTATTCTGTCCTTATTCTGCTCAGCCACCTACTGTCGACGCCGTCTATACTTCGTCCATCCTTCAAGAACCCCCTTTCCCTGTCTTCCCTCGTCCTCTACCATTCATCCATTCTTCTCNTCTGCCAGTGGTTCAATGGTCTTCGCATTATGTATTACTATTCCCTGAACTGCCGCCATCCATCGTTCGCTTCGTATCTCTCCGTCCTGTTGCAATCGCTCAATCGTGTGGATGTGGTTCGAGCACCGACAGCGCGTTGGATCAGTAACGTCATCGCTTAAGAAGGACAGTGGACGTACTCAAGATATGGTTGCATTAATCGGAACATTCCTTCACTCAGTAGATTCACTTTGTTAGCTTAGTTGGTCGATTATGTTTTATGCCTTATATTCGACGCACTCATTTGTTGCTCTAATTTTCACCAATTTATGTGTTGCCTTGTGGCTCCGCGCCGCGGAGTGTCGTAGTGAACCACGACTTTCTACTTAACCACGCTAAATGCTTCAAAATGCAGTTAATGTCTCATTTAGCTGGAATGTAGAATTAGTCACTTCTTCTTAGAATGGCATCTGACGTTAATTTTTGTACGACATCTGCAGTACTGTAACATCTGGGATGATTGCTACCGTATATAAGCCAAGCAGTGTATCAATCGAGGGTTCCATAAATCTACCACTGAATGACCGTAACAAAACGACTATTCTCGATATAACTACAGTATTGTCAGTATAGTCAGTATTGATCGGATGGCCCAAGAAGAGTCGGGGTTGCATACCCTCCTGGAAAACACGTATTCAGAACTGGAACAACATGACTGAGTAGAACATTGAACCTCTTGAATAGGATGCTCTAAAGCCACCGAACAGGATTCAAGTACTGGACGCAGAACTAGCTGGCTGAGCTAGCGGGCCGTTCAGCAAGACAGTAGCCAACAATATAACAAAAATGGAGATTTCAGTACACAACACGAAATTATTTCAATACCTATGAAGCAATATAAACTCAAGGGTAGCGATGAACCATTGAGCCTGAACGCCTGAATCATTGAGCCCTTGAGATCCTTGGAAGTCAAACAACTCGATTGTTCTTAGACCATACGCTTCCAACTTACTAAATATGAAGTGTAGAAGATTCTGGCGTAGTAAAATTTTTTTCTGGGACGTCCTTCACCTTCATACAAATCTCATATACATATAATCATCAAGAAGTTTTGAGTTGATGTTTTGTTAAGCGCTGTTACACCGCCGCAGTATGCGATCCGAAAGTTCTTGTGAAACCGAGAAGTCATTTGAAGGCGAAGATTTTTCCACACGAGAACGAGTTCGTAGAGTGCTGAGAATAAGGAATCAAAGCAATTTGAGAAAGATATATGGTCGAGGTGTGACTGTTACGATATGATGAAGGTCCCGCATTGTCAACTTAAACTAACTCCCGAAAATCCCATCTTTACGTCTCAGCACNAAATTATTATGAACGATAATATCATGTAAAAGTATCAAAAATCATAAGGGGGGAACAAATCAAAGAAGTAGTTCAACTTCCGTTTCGAACGTGCCCTAGGCGGAAGTCGAACTTTGAAATACACTCCCTCCGTGCTCTTCAGTAGGGTAAGGGAGACAGAAACATATGAAAACTTCATGTAATAAACAATTAAGTAAAGAAGTGTTGGATAGTTATATAAATGTATAGGTGCATAGGTGAAGGTGAATACTGAATTGAAAGTATATTGAGAAAGCACGCCTCATCACGGTGCTTTACCAAATGAGCCAAACTCTAACCCCTTAGCTATGGTTTCAACCGTATGCCTCAACAAGCTGATTGGGTTGACACAATACTTGCAAGGGTATTAATAATTGGGTATCGCAGCAGTAGTCATCGCATGCAGATCGAACCACCCTCAGGGAACCATTCCTATACTGCCTAAGAGCTAGAAAAAGTCGCTCTGAAGCCGATCAAGATCACTGTAAAAGCCAAAGATGCTTAACACAAACATCGAAAATTCGGAAAAAAAGATTTTTAGGTGCATCTCGTAAACATGCTGACCATTCAGATGTACACATCATCTTCAGACAAGCCGATCCATCAAGTAGGAAATCACAACATTCAAAATGTGACAGATAAGCTGACTGAATCACTAAAGCGATCATTTTTACAGGTTTGCTATACCAGTAACACATTTATAAAAACAATTTTATCGAGAATCGGCAGAAAAGCATCGATAAAAGTATCAAAGCTAAAAATAATGCGATGATATAAGAATTGAATACGTAAAAGAATAAAGAAAAGTAGAAAAAAACATCTTACCAACATTGAGTGATCTAGTAAGTTAGTTAATTAGTGACACGTCGGTTGTTATTCAGGCAAAACAAAAACAACTAATAATCGCCGCGACGATGGACTTCCTAAAGAAGAAGAAATGTGGGTGCAATGAATGTCGCGCGTGGGCGGGCGTTCCTGTGTATCTAGCCATAATCGAGGAGAAAGGGAAGAAAATAAAAAACAGAGAACCGCAAAAAAAACAGGAGACTGAGTGAAAACCTCATATAACATAATTTATAATTGTAAAACAGGGTCGAATATTGAGTATGGGTGAACCACATTGTGGTGGGTGTGGATAGCATTCCCAGGCCATGATTAGTCTTAATCTTTGGCGACATGACGCTAATACGAAGACGCAAGCATATGAGAATGAATATACCGGTAGTCTACCTTAAATCGGTCGGCACCGGTGCAAAATAATAAAAAAATAGAAAAACAAAAAGGAAATGATGTGGGAGCTCGGTGACAATTAGGCGTATTTCGGTGCTGCTTATGCATAAATGGACCTAGATCGGCTTTTTCAGCTCTATACAAATTCTACGGACAGGAAAGACTGAGGTGGGAGGTGAAAATGAAGTGAGATTCTTGCTAATGGACAATCTCCGGAGGAAAGATGATCTCAATAGGGCAAAACCTCACTCACCTCACTTTAACATACACAATGCAATAAGTAGAAATCGGGTCCTAAAGGGGGATTTCGCGGGGGCGGGGATAATCTAAGCAAAAGAACGAATGCAGATAGTTAAAAGACGCCTATTTGCTCTCAGATATTATCAATAGTACTGACGTCATGCGATAAATACGAATAGCATATAGATAATCTATTAATTACTTTCAACAAATAAATCAATCAATCAAGTACTTGAGACAATTCCAAGAGATGGTAATGTAGAGCAACGTCAAGTATGAACGGCGACGACACGAGACTGGCAATTGGTGTTGCTCCTTTACAGTGCCGTATTGTTCGGTTCTCCGCCTTTGATGTTGCCACGAGAAGTAGAACGAGCTTAAAATTAACAAGTAAAAATTGCATAGAAAGTTTTGTAAACGGAGTAGGACAGGCAAAATCTTCTAATCATTTTGCAAATGAACTTTTTTTTCATGAAAGCTTGTGTTTGTGGAATTTACCCAACCCTTAGACGACATATAAACATGGTGCGCTAAAAATCGGGGATTGGATGGCCCTAATCCCCTTCTCATTGATATCTGATCTAACTGACCACTAAGGAACGCGCTGAAGCTGCGCTGCGCAGAGGGAGAGGATAGGGAAGAGGGGAACCGCAGAGGGAAGTAGCAAATTAGGGATTGGACGAGAATGTGACGATAAATGGTTGCGCAATGTTTGGACGAGCTGGTCGAGCGCGCGCGCCATTGCGTATAGGTAGCTACGGTAAGCTGCCTGGTGCGACGGGTGCGCCCTGGTGCAAATGGTGCAACCTTTGCAGCCACTACTACTCCGTGAAAACTCGTCCGCTTTTGGATGTATTCGAGGGGCTTTCACCACACCCTATCTGGATCGTTTTTCGACACGGCAGCGTCCCTTATGTACCCTTGGGGTTACCGGGTTCATCTCAGGCATCTCAGAAACCATTTTATCATGAAATGTGCCTTTAAACGAGCTCTCGTGTCTGTTAGCACAACAGTATCGATGAAAACGGTATTTTCGATCTGTCGACGTCACTCCAAAGGCCAGAGTTTCAGTTTGATATCATGTTACAGCTAAACTAGTCTGGTAGCCACGAATCCTTCAGTGGATGTTAGTCATGATTCCACGATTGAATAACCTCTCTTTCTGGGGGTGATCGGAGGATTCTCTCACGCAAGTGGGTAGCCTAGAGCTCCCTTCAAAAACCCTTGATAAGATCCATAAAGCAGGAAAGGACTCCAGCAAAGAGCAACCCAGAGTGAGGATAAACGTTGCCCTTTGCTGAAATCCTTTCCTGCTCTGTGGGTTCCGGGTAAGGTTACCCAACCTTTTGACTGTGTACAACCTTGCAAAGAGAAACCACATTCGCTACTTATCAATTCAACAGGAAAGGGTTGCACAAAATGAGAAAAAAACAGCAGAGGCAAGAAAGACTCACCTCGTTGCTCGCTTTCCACCTGAAGTCTTAGCTGCCGGCTGATTTCTCGGAGCCGTGCCGCTGATTGTCCAGTCAGACTGGGCTCCCTCCTGTCTAGACCAGCTTGGAACGCCTTCACAACTCGAATCTGAAACGAACAGACGCAGTGTATCCAGGCTTCCGGTTTAGTGGAGCGACATCGTGCTTGTGCGCGAAGAACAAAACAGCAGCCGCCTTGACACATACAGAACTAGGACGTACACATAAACTCTTAACTTAGATTTCAAGCCACAAAAATGAAAAAGCTTTCTCGAGTTTCAGGATCAACTGCTGCCTGATGCTTGCACGCACAGCACAACGGTCGCCGGTCACATTGCAAACGTAGGAGAAAACGCTGCTCAAACAAAGGTTCTAAGGAACACATGGTAGAGTGAGGTACGCGCATACAACTGATGCAGATTCTCATCCCTACACATATGTTCCTCACAACTATTGAACGACGGCCCACACACTATCCGAGGGATGATGATAAGCTCGGATTGAGTACGGAAGCCACTAGCAGTAACACCTCACAACACTGCATCCTGATTAGTAAAGGGAATTTAAAATACTAATTAAGATAATAGTATAAAGTCATAGAGCGACAGGTTCAAAGGGAAGTAAAAGACACAAAGGGAAAGAGGAAGACTGTCATTTTGATCAATAATTACTTTAATAGGAACATACATATAACACTTAGGCTAAGTGGGCAGGAATACATCACATGCCACCACAACAATATTGGATGAGCCATGAATAAGGACTTCCTGTCGAGTAAGTCCTTACACAGACCGCTAGCTGAGGTCAACACTACTAACACCAACACCACACGCACGCACACACTTACACACGAACACATAGCAACGAGCCGCCGCGAACACGGAACACGCTGTAGCCTGTCGAGCGTGCGTTCGCTGTTTTTCGAGCTAAAGGCGAAGTGAGAAGAAAAGAAAAGCCTGGACGAAAGCTGAAAATTACACCATCCTGCGCATTACATGATGAGATTGCCGTTTGAGATTTAATCGGTAGGTTGGCATGGAAGTAGCGACGCAACAAAAGAACCTATTACGCTGTACATATACATATGTAAATGATCGTCCAAATAAGATTAGAGCATCCTAAGAAAGTAAGAAAATCAGTAACACTAGCTGCAGAAATATTTGGAATAGCATCATGAAGGCTAATGCAATAGACTGCCTAATGGGTGATCACCATACTTTTTTTAATAACTCGAGCCTTCGTTTGTTAGATCCCCATTTTTCCGTTCCATTTTCACTTTGGCACGACACTTTGAGCAAATACTAGAAAAATCCCCATTACTATCGAGTATTTTCCAATACGTTGCCGTATATTTTGCAATACGTGAGCCTAAGTTAGAAAACAAATGGAGTAGAAATCGAAATTCTTGGAAAAGAAAAGTGTTTGTTACCGTACATGGCTCATTGTCAAAAGCTGAGTTCCAAAAAAAAAA